GGGCTGGTGGTTTAAAAAATGGGGGGAAGGGCTGTGGGGCAGGGTTGGGTCTGGTCTGGTCTCCTTAAGTGGGTAAAAGTTCCTAGCAGCTGGAATCACCAACCTGGGGGCACCAGTGCTGGGTCTGTGTCTGTGTCTCTCCCCAGGGCAGGGGGGCTGTTCCTTCTGTGGTTCTAATTTCTCTCCCCTCTCCACAGAGGGGGACCCACCCCGGGCTGATCTCACCCTCCCTGCTTGGATCTGCCCCCCCACCCCCGACAGACAGCTGGTGCTGCAGGGACTCCATTGCTGACGCCAGGCAATCCCCAGGGAGATCCAGCTTGAGACAGGCCATGGCTGCCCAGGTGGCTCCCCCAGTCGCTCTCGGGTTCGGGTTCCAGTCCCTGCCCGGATGTGGCCTGGTTCCCAAAGAGGAAGTGGAGGAGCCGGATGGCCACGGACCCATTGGCATGGAGAGACACCGGCTGCGCTTCAGGGGGTTCCGCTACCAGGAGGCCAAGGGGCCTCGGGAGGCCTACGGCCACCTCTGCCTCCTCTCCCGGGCCTGGCTGCGGCCGGAGCGACACACCAAGGAGCAGATGCTGGAGCTGCTGGTGCTGGAGCAGTTCCTGAGCATCCTGCCCCAGGAGACCCAGAGCTGGGTGGGGGGGTGTCACCCCCAGACCGGGGAGCAGGCCGTGGCTCTGGTGGAGGGTCTCCAGGGAGCCAAGCAAGAGCCCAGAATATGGCCACAGCAGGAGGTAATTTACAATCATCAGGGACTTGGAGACGGGACTTTTCCCATCTAAGGGCAGCTCTGATCCAGTCCCAGTGGGGCAAGTGAGGGGCGGGGAATGGGACACAGGGCTTTTCCTCTCTGTTAGTAGAGCTAATGGAAAACCCATTTCGGAGAGATGATTATTCTGGTGAGCAATGCACAGCCACAGTTGTCTAGGGGGAGAAATTTCAGAGTTTTGTGGGGAAATTTTGATTTTTTTTCCTATGGGGAAAAAGTCTCAGCAACACCCCCTCGCCCACCTGCCCACAAGTCTCTGGTTGCAGTAGCAAAACATTCAGGGTGGGGCGCTGCCTGGAGGAAGGCCTGCTCTTCCCACACAGCTCGCTCTGGGGCTGAAGTGGCAGAGAGCCTAGCTGATCAGTGTCCCTGCTTTCTGAAGTGGGAGGGAAGGGAGAGGGCCTGTCTTTGACTCCAGTCCTGGGGCTGTGGGGAGGGGCTGTGCGATGGCTTGTCCAGCAGCTGGGAAGCTGTAAAACTCCCACTGGGTTCTCCCGGAATAGACTTTTCTGTTAAAAGCAGCAGGAAAAAGCTGCTTAAAAAATTAATCCTAGTTGGAGGCAAAAATGTCGAAACCCGCAGCATTTTGGGCAGGCAGGGGTTTGCCTTGTCTGGCCAGCTCTGTTTGCTGGTGGGGAGCAAGGGGCAGGTCTGCCCTGCTGGCACTGAACGAGGTGCCCTTGTTGTTCCAGGAGCCGGTGGCGTGGGAGGAGGCTGTGGGTTCCTTCGGGGCAGAGCGAGCAGCGCTGGCCCCAGAGCACGGCGAGCTCGGCAGGGAGATTAAGCAGGAGGAGGAAGAGACTCTGATCTCTCCGGGTAAGGAGCTACTTCCCTTCAAGGATCAAGAGCTTGAATCCCCTGGGGCCTTGGGATCAATCCCTGCAGCCCCCAGACCCTGCAGCACTGACGTTGTCCCCAGTCTGGGATTTCTGTGAGTAGAGAACAGTTCAAAGGGACACTGGGCCTGGGGCGCGCCTCTAGTTAACCTGTGGGGCTGAGGCCGGGCTGGCATAGTCCACAGGGGAGTCCAAGGCTGATTGAAGGAGTTGACCTCCGGTCACCAGGGGCAAGAATCTTTCTCGCTGGAGGTGAGGGGGGTGATTCCTAGCTTGGGGTGCCCCGAGAGCCGGCACAGCCAGTGTCAGCCAGAGTGTCACATCAGGCTGAGAGGGGGAAATTCCTGCTCCTTTGCTTCCATGTGGCTGGAGCAAGATCAGCAGCTCTTGTGCATCCCAGTAGTGTGCCCAGGGTGGGGGTCTGGCCAGGGCGCTCTTCTTGGGCCTCCCAATCCCCCGGGGTCCTGGGCTTCCAGGCAGCTCTTACCACAGCCGAGCTCCAGCTTCTGACCTGGCCGGGGGGAATCTAGGGAGAAGAGGAGAAGCAAGGGGTGAGGCCACAGCACTGGGGTGGCTCCCCCAGTTCTACACAGATTCTGATCCCCCTATGGGGCCCCCCTAATTGGCCCGGGTCCCTGTGTACAGTCCCCATGGGGCTGTGTTAACCCGCCACTGCACATTACCCTGGTGACTAATTTCTGCTCTGTCCTCTAGCATCCTGTCAGTAGAAATACATTATTCCTTAATATTGCCCAGTGCACCTCCCCGCTGATTATGACTCTTGCTTCCATGTTACTCTCTGTGGACGAGAACCCTGCCAGGCATGTGCAGTGAGTTTGTCAGGTCTCAGGAGCAATTGATTTGCAAAGGGAAGGGGCCTGTTGCCAGGGCTCAGCGTGTCACTGCCTCGGAGACTGTCTGGGGGTGAAGGGAAAAGCTGGGAGCCCCCCAGTTCTGTCCTGTCCCACTCAGTGTCCCCTCCCAGCAGGTGGCCTGTCCTCACAGCTGGCGTCACTCCTGCTTTCCACCCCCAGCAGGAGCCTGCCCCTCCCCCAGGCTTTCTCAGCGAGGCTGGTGGGGCAGCTCCAGCCCCTTCTCTCCCCTCCAAAGAAGTGTTTGTGGGTTTCACCAGCAGGTTTTCAGCTCAGTGGTAAACCCCTTTCTGACCCCTCCATCCCCCGGTGGATTCTCTCTCTCCCAGCAGGTGCTGGAACAGAGGAGGGGGCTCCCCAGCAGGAGGGCTCTGTGGAAGTGAAGACACGTGGAGGGAATGGTGGCAGGGACGGACAGCAGCGGGGAGATCCGCTGGATGATGGACAGAACTCCCACCAGCAGGTTTTCAGCTCAGTGGTAAACCCCTTTCTGACCCCTCCATCCCCCGGTGGATTCTCTCTCTCCCAGCAGGTGCTGGAACAGAGGAGGGGGCTCCCCAGCAGGAGGGCTCTGTGGAAGTGAAGACACGTGGAGGGAATGGTGGCAGGGACGGACAGCAGCGGGGAGATCCGCTGGATGATGGACAGAACTCCTCCTCTGAGCACGAAACGAGTTTCTCCAGCCTCAGCATGCCAGTGGCGGGGAGGC